GCACTTCCGGGTACGCCTATCCATTTCCGGCGCACGCCAATGACGCTATTGCCTAGCAACAATCACTTAGCGGCGCTAACTGTTGCTTAGCAACGAGCGGCTGGGGGCGTGGCCTTGATGCCTGGGCGGGGCGAGGCGGGCGAGCCCATCGTGCCGGGACCGGGGGTGTGTGGAACGTACCAACTCAGCGCGGGGGGGAGAGGGTGTTCCCAGTGCCCTTCCCGCCCCTTTTCCGCAGGTTTATCCTTTATTTTTATGAGGAAATCCCCCGGGACACGTATTTCGGGAGGATTTCCGGCCAAACCAGGCGCTCCCGGCGCGGTGCGGGCTGGCGGGGGCGCTGAGGAGGCGCGTCCCGCCCTCAGCGCTGTCAGCGCGGTACCGGAGCGAGTTTAACCCGCAGGAATTCCTTGTGGGGTGCGAGCGCTGCCTCGAGTGCGATGTCGCGATATAGTGATCCATGTCGGCGATAAATCACTCGAAAACAGGGGGGGGGACAAGGAGAACCATGCTGAGGGGACAGCGGGTCCTCGGGGCTGCTCACACCGTGATTGTCCCTTGTGAGGGCGGACACCCAGCAGCAGTAAAATAAATTAATTAGAACTACAATTAGCGCGGGTGTAGCCGCGAGATACCGCAGCGTCTTTGTCACACCCTGAAATTTTTATGTCCAGCAAATTAAGGGATAAAATTTAAAAGCTGCACAGGCCGAGGCTCTGAGGGCTGGGCTGGAGCCCCCAGCAGGGAACAACATCTCCTGTCCAGCTGCCCAAAGCCTCTGCACCTTCAGTGATTATTTATTTAGAAATAAATGGGTTTTTCTCAGCTGGATAAGTGCTCTGAGCTCCGGATTGTGACAAGATGGTGTGCTCCCTGTGGATTTATCAGAGTCAGGGCTTCTCCCAAAGTTTCCCTCGGTGCTCAGGTACCAGCCTGGTGCATTTCCTATTCACCAGACTTTGTACTGTGTTAGATTTGTTAAAACAAAAAATTAGCTTTGCAGCTGTTTAAAAAAAAACAACAAAACAACCCTATAATTAAAACCTTTGAGTAAAGTCCTCAGGAAACAATCGCTATTGGGATATCATAAGTTACAGAACATTGTGCAGCTACATTTAAAGACACTTTACAGGAATAGAAAAAACAATTGAAAATACATTTATCAGACATACATAGAGAGCAAAAATTAAGAAATCAGTCCAATAATCAGCAATTTTTGCTCCAATACACAGCAAGCATTCCCACCCGGCTGCTGTGACAATGACATTTCCAGGCAGGATGTGAATAGTGGACAAGAAAGTGCAGATTTAATTCTGCATTAGCTGCTGTGGGGATCTTCAACTGCAGTGGCACTGAGGGAATTCTTGATGGGAATTCTGAGTCGGGGGATGTTCACCTGCTACCAGGGAGTTCTTGGAGGGAATTCTGAGTGTGGGGAGATCTTTACCTGCCCTGGCACCCAGGAAATTCCTGGTGGGAATTCTTGAGTGGGGGAGATCTTCACCTGCACTGGCACACAGTGAATTCCTGGTGAGAATTCTGAATGAGGGGATCTTCACCTGATACCAGGGAGTTCCTGGTGGGAATTCCAAGTGGGGAATCTTCATCTGCTACCAGGGAATTCCTAGTAGGAATTCTGAGTGGGGATCTTCACCTGCACTGGCACGCAGTGGATTCCTGGTGGGAATTATGAGTGAGGGGATGTTCACCTGCTACCAGGGAGTTCCTGGAGGAAATTCTGAGAGAGGGGATGTTCTCTTGCTACCAGGGAATTTCTAGAGGGAATTCTGAGTGGGAGGATCTTCACCTGCTACCAGTGCACACAGGGAATTCCTGGTGAGAGTTCTGAGTGCGGATCTTCACCAGCACCCAGGGAACTCCCAGTGGGAATTCTGAGCGAGGGGATCTTCACCAGAACCAGCATCCAGGGAATTCCTTGTGGGAGTCCTGAGTGAGGGGATGTGCACCTGAACCAGGGAATTCCTGGTGGGAGTTCTGAGTGAGGGGATGTGCACCTGAACCAGGGAATTCCTGGTGGGGATTCTGAGTGTGAGGATCTTCACCTGTATTGGCACCCAGGGAATTCTTGGAGGGAATTCTGAGTGTAGGCATCTTCACCAGCACTCACGGAGTTCCTGGTGGGAGTTCAGAGTGGGGATCTGCACCTGAACCAGCACCCAGGGAACTCCCAGTGGGAATTCTGAGTGAGGGGATCTTCACCAGCACCCAGGGAGTTCCTGGTGGGAGTTCAGAGTGGGGACCTGCACCTGAACCAGCACCCAGGGAGTCCCTGGTGGAGCTCAGGGTGGGGATCTGCACCTGAACCAGCACCAGGGAACTCAATTCTGAGTGAGGGGATCTTCACCAGCACCCAGGGAGTCCCCGGTGGAGCTCAGGGTGGGGACCTGCACCAGCACCAGCACCCAGGGAGTCCCTGGTGGAGCTCAGGGTGGGGATCTGCACCTGAACCAGCACCCAGGGAACTCAATTCTGAGTGGGGGGATCTTCACCAGCACCCAGGGAGTCCTGGTGGAGCTCAGGGTGTATCCCAGGAGCAGCAGTGGCCCCTCAGTCCATCATGGCCCTGAACTGCTGTGTGTACTGGGCCAGCTGCTCGGCCTGCTCCCTCAGCTCCCTGCTGGCCTCGGCGTTGGGGAATTTCAGGGCGGCGTTTTTGGTGGCCAGGGCCAGGTTCTTGAGCAGGCTGCAGAAGCGGCTGCTGCTGTGCAGGATGTCGCTGCGGGCCTCCCTGTCCTGGCTCTCCTGGCACAGGGAATCCACCAGCCTCTGGCCCACCATGATGATGAGCTTGCTGTGGGAGATGAAGATTTCGGGGGGCTGCTGGCTGCTGAGGCTGGCGCTGAACACGCCCAGGGCCTTGTGCAGGGCGGCGAAGCACAGCCTGCAGTGCTCGGGGAGGGGCATTCTCCTGCCAGGCTCCTGCCTGCTGCCATTTTCAGTCTTTTTTGCACATGGCAACACCTGGAGGAAGGGTTAAAACAGAAATAGGTTCAGCCTGGTGTCACACGCTGCTTGTTTCTTTGGTTGCTCTACCCTGAATTTTTGTGGTCTCCAAATCGCCACACCCTGGAGCCCTTACAGTAATTTCTCTTTCCGTAAAGTGTTGGAAATTCTCCTGATTGCCTTTTTCCCCTAAATACAGTTTTAATATTGGATAGCACACAAAGTGCTGCAGCTAAACATCAGTCCTTTACACAGTCTGGCCTTGAAGCTTTCAAATAATACAAAACATTGATCTTTAATGGACTTAATTGGGGTTATGAATGATTAAAATGCACAAAACAAGAGTCAGTTTAGTGCCAGTGCATGGTAAGATACTTTGAAATACTGATTCTCACAGCCTTATCTCAAATGATGCTGAAAGGCAATAAAATAAACTGTATGACTTTAAACTGGAGTGGAAAATAAGTGCTCTTCACAGGTTTTCAGCAGTAATTCTGGGAAAATGATCTCTGAGAAGCAAATAGGACTCTATGTGTAGAGATGCATGTCTGAAGGCAAATTACCCTGAGTTTTAGCAAGCACAGAAATCAGAGACTAACAGCCCTCATAAATAATATTTTCAAAGTCAGAAATACCTTTGGGTTTGACTCTGTACTCTTCTTTGCTACTTCTTTACCTGAAATGACTTTCTGTGCCTGTTGCAAATTAAAATGAAAGCAAAGTTGAAACAACTACATAAAGTATTTAAATATAAATGTGGTTTTCTCTTATTTCATGGGGAAACAACTACTTGTTCTGCAGCCTTCATGTTGCAAATAGAAATGGGGGAAGGAGCTGTAGGTTTTTTCCTCCTAAAAATGATCCTGCAAGATCTGAGACTGAAACCAACATCAACAAAACATTTCAATGTAACGTTCCCTAAATTTTAAGGACAAACAGCATTTCTTCGGGAAACTAAGGGAGATATTCTTAGTAGATACTTTAGTGATTCTGAGGAGATTCTTACAATCATCCAGAATTGTTCCAACAGATAATTCACAGAGTTTAATTTCTATGCAAATGGGATTTCCATCCAAGTTAGGATGGAACATCTCTTGTCGTGCCAAACACAATGTAGTGGCAGGAAGAGAAAAAAGAGAAGTAAGGTATTGCTAACTTCCAATGAAACCTACTTCCCAAATGAATTCAAGCTGGCAAGAATGATAAAAATGTTTGATTTCCTCTGTTGATTAAAATTACTGCTCATTGTACACGTGCCATCCAGCACTGTCCCAAAATCCTGGATCTGTGTGAATCTGGAAAGGGGGATGTAGTGCAAACTGAATGTGGCACTGCAAAGTAAAATAGTGCTGCTAGTGAACAGCCCAACATCTGCAGAGGGGGAGTGTCGCAGACATTTTTTCATAGAAATCCTTTCTTTGGGATTTGTCCATCTTCTAAGAAGCAGAGCCCCAGAAGAAGAATGTAAACAATTGTTATCAGCTGCTGTGAAATGTAGCAGGTGCCCCTGTGATTGGCTCATCTTCCATGTGTACCATTAAAGGCCAATCACAGGAGCAGCTCAGGGACAGATTCCCTGGACACAGAACTTTGTTATTCATTCCTTCTATTCTATTGTTAGCTGAGCAGCCTCTGCAACTTCTCTTCTTATTCTTTTTAGTATAGTTATAATGTATTATATATCTTATATAAATAAATCAAGCCTTCTGATCAAGAAACAAGATTCTCATCCTTCTCTCACCCCAGTGACCGTCTAAAGCCACTGTAATATGTGAGAAGTTCAGAGAGGGAACCCCGGTGTCACTGACCTGTAACTGGACATAATCACAATCCTCACTGCAGTTCTCCTCTGGTTTCTGCACAGGGACCTGGCTTTGGCTGGGTTTCTCAGGAGCATTTCTCTGCAGTGACTCAATTTCTACTCTTCTTGGCACTGGGATCTGTTTTGCCATTTTGCATTCTGGGTTCACTTTTGGTTGCTTCTTTTCTTGCTCCTTCTCGTTCCTCCTGAAGAGCAGCTTCCCGTTGGCGATGATGATGGACACAAACCTCTTGATATCATCTGGAATTGTCCTGGCCACCATAACGAAGCGATCCAGGTCGTCAGGGTTGCTCTGGGGCTTCTTGAGCACCAAAGCCTCCAGGGCCCAGCTGCAGCTGTTGAGAGCTTCCCTTGTTTCTGTCAATATTTTGTAGGAGTTCATGAGGATTTCCAGCTGCTTTTTAATTCTGGCCTGCAGGTTGCTATCTGTGAGGTTGGAGGCGTTTCCCTTCAGGGCTTGAGCAAAGGCCAGGAACTCTCCCAGTGACACCTTTATGTGGTCCACTGCTCTGTGGATCTCCTCCAGGCTTTTCTCCAGGTGCTCCTGCAACCTCCACTTGCTGCTCACGAAGATCATTAAACTGGCGACGGAGCTGGACACGCCGTGCTGCAGCCGGGTCAGGGTCTCGATGGCCGCTTCCAGCTCCAGTTTGATCTCTTGGACAGGCTCTGGTGATGGTGACAGCCTAGAAAACGACTCAGCAGAAGAGCTGGAGGATGAGGAGAGAGTGCTGCTTCTGCTGTCCACACTGGAGACACACAAACTGTCATTTTCTGACTTGGCATCCACGGAGAGCTGTGGAGAAGCACCGTGTGCTTGGTCACTGTTGTTTTCCACCTCTTTCTTGGAGTGCCCAGCACTGGGCAAACCTTTGGGAATATCATAAACGTTCTCCTCAGAGACCTGGCCGTCAGCCTTGGCAGCCAGGAGCCTCGGGGGCAGCTCGGAGCTGCCGTTGTGTGGCGGGAGGAGCGCGTCCCGTGAGGGTGGGACGTCGTACAGGGGGATTTCTGGAAGCGTTAATTTCCGCTGTGCCGGCGGTGGAATGTCGTACAGCTGTGGGTTCCCAGCCTTGCCTTCAGCTGGAGCCTTGTACCTGGCTGGGGGAATGTCATACAGCACCCGCTTCTCCCCAGCCTGCCCAGGAGGGCTGGCTTTGAATCCCGAATTTTCAGGGGAAACTGGGATATCGTAAATCCATTCGGACTTCCGAGGGTTTGGCAAGGTGTTGTAATGGCCCCAGAACTTCCTCTGAGATTTATTTTCTGAGTCATCGAGCTCTCTTTTGGGAGGGACATCATATAACTGCAACAGAGCACACAGGGTTCATAAACCATCTTTAGAAACAAGAATGAGAAGCAGAACTGAATTCTCAGGGCACACAAATGTGTGCAGTTCCACTGATGTCAATGGAGCAGCACCACGGAAGGGCTGCCTGTGTTTTTTATTTTCTAACATGCACAAGCTGCATGTATTAAAGGTAAAATATTTGGAGCACAGGAGATTAGATCCTACAGCAGAATCCATAGCCAGTGACATCTGTAGACACTTGATTTTTCCTGACTCACATGCACACCCTTTCAAGCAATAAATCACCAACAGACATCACTGACTCTACTCAAACACCTTCAATAAATTTAATTTTTGCTTGATACATATATATGTGTACAGCTGGAGTCTAAGCTGGAAAAGGGGCATTCAGGACCATTTGTTGTGTAAAAAACAGTGGGGAAGAGATGGGAAAGCTGTCCCTGCTCCAAGGCAGGAGTGACAGATTATTGTGTGCCCACCAAGCCTTACTTACACTGCCTGCTGGTGAGTCCTGGCTGCCAGCTCCTCCTCTTTCTGCCTTGGATGGGATCTTGTAAAGCTGCTTCTGCTCTGCCTGGAAGCTCTCAGTGGATCTGCCCAGCACGGAGCCCTTCCTTGTGCTGGGGGGAGTGGCACCACTCTGCTCAAAGGGAAAATCAATTATTTATTTTAATCCTTTTAGAGCCCACCGGGGCCCTGAGTGGGATGAAAGGCTTTGGGCCAGACATGAGTGGGTTGGGTCTGAGCAAGGATCACCCAGGGAATCTGTGGATAATGATGGGCTCAAGCCTGCACCCCAACATTAATAGATTTCCAATAGTGACAGTGGATTGGAGGGTGACAGTGCCACCTCTCCAATGACACTGGACAAACCAACGGTCCATCAGATTTCTCCTGCTCCATAAAAGAATGCAAAACAATGAGTTATTTACATAAAGTGTGTGAGAAAGCTCGTTACAAGAATGTAACCATCAGAAGGTTTAGAAAATCTTAAATCTTTAGTTTAGAAAATCTTAAGTTTAGAAAATCTTAAAAAACCAGGGTGACATGTGACATTCACTGAGGCCAGGGCAGTGGGACAGCAGCAGGGACAGGATTGTGTAACAGGACACGTCACAGTGGTGTGACCAAATCCAGGGTGTGTTTTTCCCAGGAGGAGGGTGGGGGGTGACATTTAATTTCTTGTGGACGTGGGCTCGTGACTCTTCTCTGAACACCCCCAAATCACCCCCAGCAAATGACAGCACCACATTTCCTCATGGATTCCAAGGCAGAGAGGGTGACAGCTCAATTCTACTGTCACCCCATTTGCTTTCTGAAAAATTGGGAAGAAAATAATCTATATTTAGCTCAAAACCTCAGTTCTCCTGAGTTTCTTAGAAATTTAGAGAGCGACGTGTCTTCAATCTCGTGCATTTCTAGTACACTTCCATTTTTTCTATTATAATTCCGAGGTAGAGAGAGTGACACTACTGATGTCTTACTGAATTTTCTGTATCAGTGTCAACCTCTCTGCCTCAGAATCCATGGGGAAATGCCTTACTGAGAGAAAAATTGGAAATGTTTATTAGAAACGCACCAGATTTAAGACACATTCCTCTAAATGTCTAAGAAACTGGAGAACTGAGGTTTTGAGCTGAAAATAGATGATTTTCTACCCATTTTGACAAAAAAGCTAAGAGGGTGAGAGCAGAACTGAGCTGCAGATGTGCTCTGAGGTGCTCCAGGGTGGCAGCTGCAGGGACAGGACTCACCTGTGGCAGAGGGGACCCTCGGGGCTGCGAGGAGGGGACATCGTACACCTCAGCCCTGATGTTGGGGGCTGAGGCCCTGCAGGCTCTGGGCAGGGTGAACAGGTGCTTGGAGGGGAGAAAAATTAGTAATAATAACAATATTAATGATATTAATAATTGTAGTATTAAATAATAATAATAATAACAACAACAACAACAACAATAATAATAATAATAATAATAATAATAATTTTAAAAAACTGCATCAGCAAGAAGCTTTGAAAAGTCATTCAGCTGAAAAATCCACTGATTTAATCACAGAAATCCACTTAAGAGTAATCACTCTGAAGTGATAAAAACCTTCAGCTCTTCACTGAAAGTGAGACACAGGAACTGACCTCACAGGCAATAGCATGTTTATTCTCAAATAATTCTCCTTTAGCAGCATTTCTGGTACATTTTAGATAAGATCTGACCTGGCACAAAGACAATCTGCCTTACTAACCACAGGGCAGAAAAGATTTGGAGAAAATCCAGCTGCAGTTATCACATAAAGCTTTAAACTGCCCAAAAGCAGAACCACTTAAAAAAGGAAGTGGGGAAATTTCAACTTCTCCAAGGCCGCAGTCATTGGGTCAAGCCAATTTAATGTCAGAGCAGCAGAAAAATGCAGGCTGAGCATTATTCTGTAGTTATGAACAAATGACTCATTTGGAAGGATTAAACCTTGATGTCTTGTCCAGCTCCATAAACAGGGAATTGTATCTTTGCAGTCAGATTGATTAAAACATAATTTGAGCAGCCATGACCAGATCTGTGGGACAATTAATGTCACAAAATATGAATGCTGGGTTAGGACTTTTCTTTTTTAGAATCAACCACCAAAAGATGGAATTTTGTTCATCCAGCCTGCCTTGAGCCTGGCTGCCCTCAGCAAAGCACTGACCTCCAGAAACACTGCTGGGGTGAGATGTTACAGGAAATGTTAAACTGGTTTTAAACTGGAAGGAGTGATTCCCATCGTGCAAATCCTGCAGCAGGTAAATGTAGGGGAAATCTGGGAGAGGAAGAAGAGTGCAGCTTCACTCTGCCTGGTTCAGCTCTCATGTGGGAGCAGGGAATGAGGAGTGAGCACAAATCCTGAGTGCTGTGATAGAGAATCACAGAGCCACAAAATGCTCTGGGTTGGGAGGGATCTGCAAGGCCATCTCTTCCACCTCCTGCAAAGGACAGGGACATCTCCCACCATCCCAGGCTGCTCCAAACGCCCTCCAGTGTGGCCTGGACCTCCTGCAGGGTTGGGGAATCCTGGGCAGCCTGTGCCTGAATTCGAGCATCTTCCTCACAGAGGCACAGCTTCCCTGAGGGAAAGGGTAAAAACCATCCTTAGGCCAGGTCTGCTTCCAGATGGACAAATCTGAGAATCCAGCAGGAAGGAAACTCACTGGATGTCACATGTTGGCACTTTTGGCAGCCCTGTCAGTGGCAGTGGAAGCAGAAGGTGCCCTGGGTGTGAGGCAGGAGCAAGGAGGTTTCTCTGTGGGGTGAACACACCCAGGCTCTGAGGGATTCATTCTTGTTTCACTGCTTCAGTCAGCTCCCTCAAAGACTCACAGCGGCTTTTCCCAGCTGCTCAGAGCACAGCTGAGTATGGCAGGAGCTTTGCCAGCTGTGCCACAGGATCTCTGTGGGATGGTCTGGATTGTTCTGTGCTCCCTGAGCTCCCCTGCCCTGGGGACAGCCTGTGACCACCGGGGTGCAGCTGGTGTGGGGACAGCTGGGACACTGTGCCACAGGCAGCCCCACTCCCAGCTTCTGGATAACCATCAAATGGGACGTTTCTTTTTCATTCTTCATTCTTTTTCATTCTTCATTCTTTGTCATTCTCCATTCTTTGTCATTCTCAGACCAGGCACAGCTTAGGTGGACAAATTCATGAAATGAGGCAGGGAGAGCCCAGGAGCTGCTCTGCCAGACCATTCATCCACATAATGAATAGATGACAATTTCCACCTGATTTGCTGGCACAACATGCAAAATGGATGCCAATCTCTGATACAGTTTGCCAGAGGCTCCTTGAGGGTCAGGAATGTGGAGAAATCAACAACAGCAAGTGCAGAAGAGTCTCGTGTAGCTGTACTCAGTTTGGGTTTGAGCTGTGGTTGTGCAGTGCAGCTGAAAAGGAGGTTCTGGTCACCAGGGATGCCCTGAGTTTGTTGTTTTCCAGCCCCCAGCTGGCACCCAGCAGGAAGCAGCAAGGAGGTTTCCATCACTGGCCTTCCCCACAGCAGGAGGCAAGGGGGCTCAATGAGCCCCATAAATCAAACCATCATTAAATCAGCCTAAAACACCATATAGCTGAGCCTTCTTCCTTTTCCTTTCTCAATTAGAATTTCAAATGTGATTTCCATTACAGGATAAAGAGCCACCGAGGGCTGGAGAGCTCACAGAACTGAACAAAACCTCACACTCAAACTCTGTCCCCACCTGCTCTATTTCCCTTTCATTATGAAACATTCCCCACTCATTTCTTCCTGAAGAAAGCACAAGGTTTTGATGGTAAAAACCAGTGAGATGTAATCAAATTGCTTGTTCCATGTATGTTTGAAAGTCAGACTGGGAGAAAGAAGAGCCAGGCCTTGGAGCTGTAATGAAACCCTGGAAAACCAGTTTGTTCTCCTCTATAACTGGGGGAACTGGTGGCAGCTCTCCTCCTGTACACCTTGGTCAACATCTCAGCAGCAGCAAAAATGGGCTGGGAGAGAAACTGAGGGCACAAAACTTTGTGTCCTTGTGTGTGTCTGCAGGGGCTGCTGCTTGGTGCAAATGAGAGCACAAGAGACAGGCAGCAGCATTCTGAGCTTGCTGGGCTGCTGGAGACAGTAAAACCCAGAGCAAACGCAGCAATCACACACCACAGGGTGACTTTTTAAAAATTATGAATCATATTTCTGTGCAGATGGATGTAAAGGCTCCACATGTGCCCAGAGGGCTCTGGATGGCTGCTGGAGAAAGTTCTGTGTCTTGTTATTTTAACTTTGTAAATAATTTATAGATCCTCCCAAACAAATGGTATATTCTTTACTTCCTGCCCTGTTTTACAGCTGTTTTAAACTGTCAGAAAGGTGAGGGAGCACAGAACGTAGAGAATCTGTCACCCAGAGCAGCATTTCTCACCCCATGCTATAAACTGATGGG